AAATGTGATGAAGTATATACAAACAATACCGCCATTCTAACCACCTAACTACATGGAAGGGACATTGGTGATAAGGTGGACTTATGTATGTATGTATATAGTATTTGTAAAACATCTGTATTTTATTTATTAAATTTTGTAACTCATTTATAAGTAGATATGTATATCAACATATTTTTGACAATGTGTGTACCAAACGACTTGTTGTGATTTTATAAAAATAAGATTTGAATATCATATTTAAAAATGCATATTTTTTAAATGAAGAAAAAACATTTTAGGATTTATAAATAAAAATAAAATAATAATAATAATAAAAAAAAATAAATAATAAAAAAATAAAAACATGGATTTTGGGAATTGAATTGAAAATTTTCGTTCTCAAAATTTAAATAAATATTGTAGGTGCAAAACCTGGATCAAAACGTTTTTAAAAGTAAAACGTTCCATACAAATTTGAAAACGAAAATTTCTCTGTGTACAAAGGCGCATCGCTTAGTTCCTTCCTTTCCCGCTGCAGCCTATGTGCATTTTTTTTTTGCATTTTCCTCTTAATAAGGTTTTAAACAAATTAACAAATTAATGTACAGAATTAACAATAACAGTCCGTCAAGTTTCAATAGCGATAAATCAGCCCTTCGAATTTTTCTGCTGGACTATGCGTTACAGGTTCGCAAATTTTACCCCTACCGAAACCAAAGATGTATACACATCAAAAAGCACAACATGAAGGACTGTTTATATTTAACGACCACCATTTTTTGCATTATAAAACAAGTATTCGACAAAATAATCATTGATTAACATTCTAAATGAAAATAAAGTCGGCAGAATTTCTTAATGTAATGTAACAGTTCAAAATGTCAAAAAGTTTTTTGGCGCGGAATCCACCAGGCGTTCTTTCACAATAAAATAAATCAGTTTCCTATACCTTTCATTATCGACAAAGGTAATGTATGAGGAGCGAGGAGGTATTTGATAGCTATCGCTTCCAGAATGCGTTATTACTAACACGGAACATGTCCTAGGAAAATAACGTGACGCGTGTAGCTTTATAAAACTATAAATAGAAAAAATAAAAGAAGAAAAGCCCCAGGGTTTGAACTCGAAGTTGTTGGTCGAACGCGCATCCAGTCGGCTACAGCGACTGTTGAGATAACTCGAAGAAAAGACATACATACATACTTAAATTTGTTGTAAAGTTTTTTATTTTGCTTCTGGCTTCAAAACTATACTTATATTGTGATGCATATTTTCGTGCAATCGTATTCGTTAAAGTTTTCATGGTAGAAAAAGGTAATGCATTCCTCAGTTGCCTGCTGGGTAATTGCTAGTCTCAAATTTAGTTACTTGAGATGAGATTGACTTACTGGAATACCAGTTGTTGACATTTAAACACACAAACAATACCTAACTCACAAATTCGGCGAATGCCCATAACCAAATTCAACTCCGTCTTGTTTTTGTTGCTAAACAATTGGTTGGTTTGAAAAATTTATAAGCTAAGAAAAGTTAACCCAAAAGTTATCTTTTGAGAGCGGTATGTGACCATTGAAATTCGGTTAATTTAGCCGACCGATTAACTTTTGCGCGAGTTAACTTTCCGCGATTCTGCTGTACTTCTAAAAATTTTAATGTAACAGTCATATGTTGAAACATTCAAAACTCCTTAACAACTGGAGTTACAACATATTTTAGGTATATATTAAATATTGACACATACTTATGCAAGAAGAAAAACTATTCGAAAGTTGTATTCTAGCGAGTTTCAGCGGTATTTGAAAAGCACTGTGAACCAAAACGTATTGTAACAGTCCGCGTTTTGGCCCATATGGTAATTTTCTTTAATGTATAAAGTCAGACACAAGGTTTGTTCGTCGAGCAAAAAATTTGTACGAATTTGTACGAATTATCACGATTTTTGCCCAAATCGCGTTCGTGCAGACCAAAAAAATATCCAACACTCAAAAATTGTGAGAGCAAAGTGACAGTTCTCTTGGAGAGAAGTTGCAAATTCTTGCTGGAAAAAATTTTGCCAGCAAGAATTTGCAAACACGAAAAACATGTGGTTGTGGCGCATGGTTGCATTTTTGTCTACAATAATTTGAATAAATTAGTTCGTTAAATTTAGAAATTTATAAACACGAGCGATTTTTCCATGAAAAAAGGAAGTAAATAATTGTTGATATAATTAATTTAGTTAATTCCAATGATTTGAACTTAATTCGGCTGAAAAAAATGGTATTCGCAATCGGAATGCAATTGCAACCAGAGTCGATTTAAGAAACCCGACAGCTAGTACGATGAAGAAGTTGAAATGTATGTTAAAGAAAGTCAGAACAACAAGAAATATACATGTATATCCTGTTTTTGGCCATCCGAAAGAATTTTAAAAATTCTATACAAATTTTTTATGTTTGAAATGCAACCGTGGACGCCAGCTGGCAGGGAAACTTGCAAATTCCTGCAAATTTGCGTTCGTGCAGAAATTTGCAAGTTTCTCAACATGAGAGAGAATTTGAGAGAATTTTTTCTTACTCTCTGATATTTTGAGTGTTGGATAATTCTTGCTGGATTTTCGACGAACAAACCTACAAACAGCACGAATCGGAATATATTTATAATAAACGCCCATAACGAAGCAGCAATTACATTGTAAAAAATTACAAGTTATGGTTGTGATATTTCCGGCCCCTTAAGAAGCTCGGCCCAGGGGGACTCACTCCTTTTTGCCCCCTACCCTCCCGACTTGGCTAATGTTATAAATGACTGACTTCCGAAGGTGTAACGTTAAAGACCACTTAAAATAATGGTAATAAGAAATCGATACGATGGCGATAGTACCGGCAATTAATTTGTTGATAAGGACGAAAAGTTTTCTTATTGCCTGCAAAAAAAATCATCTGATTGGTATTATCACTAATGGTGTTTTCGTTTCTACCAAAAAATGTCGCATTTTCATTGCCCCTTTCTCTCTTCGCGATCGATTCTAAAAAAAGGCAAAACGGTGAGAAAATTGCGTGTTTGTTTCTTAAAATGTCACACTCTTATAAGGCGTATTTTCTGCCTTTTGAAGCTTTGTCAGGGGAGCTGGTTGCCCTGAAAAACAGATGGTTGCTTAAAACGATAATATTATGAAATGCGTGAGCTGGACAAGGACAAGAAGACAAAAACATGCCCTTTTACAGGCTTGAGTGTTACATCAAACATATTTTGCGCCGTACAAGGGCAACATTTTTTGGTAGAAACGAAAACACCATAATTCTACACAAACACAACAAACACTCAACAATATCAAAACAAATTTGCATACCTACTATTGAAATATTGAAAAAAAAAAAACTTGATTGATTTAGCATATTTTGTTTATTTATCGAACTTTTTAAAGCGCTCAAAATCAATTTTTTATGCATATTTTTGCCAGTCCTGCAAATCACGTAAAATGGGATATGAATAATTGTATGTATATACATATTCGTACGTAAGTATCAATATTATACACGTTTTTCAACAGTATATTAAATCATTAAATTTAATTTTTCATTTCATGGGCTAGAAATGTTCAAAGGTCATATACATACATACATAAGTATGTATGTATTTATTTATTAATGTACTTATGTACATATATCTATGTACATATCTGTGTTCCTATGGAAAAGTAGCTTATGTCGAAAGGCTGGCTTTAGTATAAATCGGCATTCGCTGCATGCGATTGCGAATGACTCACGGGCGCTGACCCGTCGAACAACGTTTGGCAAATAAACATGTAAGAAAGAGTTCCGATACTAGCAAGTCAACATCCTTATTAAGTCTCATCAAAAAAATTCCTTCTCGTTTAAAGAAGAAAGGGAATGACGCATCATACTAAAGTCAGCCTTTCGACATAAGCTACTTTTCCATACGAACACAGATATATACCTCCGTGCAAAAGCTGAAGTGCATACTGTGTTGTTCGAATGTGTTAGAAAAAGTACAGTAAAGGCTCCCTTTATATAGCATTGGCACATTAAGTTAAACTGTTGGCAAATAAAATGTATCTTTTGGCAAATAAATTTAGTCTTTTGGCAAATAAATCTAATCTTTTGATAAATAAAATTAATCTTTTGGCAAATAAAATTAATATTTTGGCAAACAAATTTAATCTTTTGTCTAATAAAATTAAACTTTACTGTAGTGTTAGAAAAAGTAAAAAATACCAGGGACGTGAACCAGATGAAAAACTTGGTCGGTTCGGTTCAGCGTTCCGAACCGTTTTTGCACTTTTGGATTGGTTCGACAAATCGGTTTTTTTAGTCTTTGAACCGGGGTTTTGGTTCAGATCAACGGTTCGGAAAAAAAAATAACGCGCAAGTCTAAGTGTAAAGTGTCAATTGCAACAACGCGCAAGGTTAAATTTCAAGTGTGTGTTAAATGAGATGAGTTGCCTTTATATTTGATACCATATTTAAAGAAAAGAAACAAAAGCGTGTAAATTTATCTATTGAAAATTGGTTTAAACGAATTTTAAACCTTTATGAAAAGTGGTTCGGTTTTCGGTTCGGATCAAACATTTGTGGAAAATTTCGGTTCGGTTAATGGTTCTGTTAATTAATAGAAAAAACCGGTTCTCCGGTTCCAAACCGGTTCGGTTCAAAACCGGTTCACGTCCCTGAAAAATACACTGAAAAACTGCTGTTGTTGTGCTAGGAAAGCATTTTTTTTTTTTAACTTTTGACGCTTAGATTTACTGCGCCAATATCAAGAGTTAACCTCCAGGATAGCTGAAAAGTGTTTTTTGGTTTTTCGGTTCTGTTGATTTGACTGCTCACTTTCAAACAGTTCTGTCACAGCATGGTCTCAAATATTCGTCAAACTTTCTGGCGCATTTTATTTCAACCAAACCACGCATTATGGCCAAATGGGATAAAAAAAAAACATCTAAAATGCTACAAATCTTGAACTCCCGTAATATATTTTTTGAAACGCAGGTACAAGAAAAATTTATTTATGTTCATACGCACATATGTACATTAGGGTGCTCATAAAAAACGTTTTTTTTTTTTAATTTCAAGACCCTACCCCCTAATTTTATTCAATTTTATGAGAAATATTATTGCCTATTTGTATAGATATTTTCAAGGTCATTTAGAGGTCGCGACCTGTAGATTCGTTCGAAATGTCATCTGAGAAGAGTATATATAGGCCTTTAAAATGGTATTTAATAATCTATTTTCGGACTTCGATCGTTGGGATTTTTTATGGGGTAGAATAAAAAACCCCATATTTCTCTTAATTTTTTAAATTTGACCATTGATAAATTCCACAATTTCAAAATATGTAGTACTTTCTAAAATTAAATCTATTTTAAAATAAACTGATACCTCGTTAATTGCAATCGCATTAAAATTGTCAAATTTAGGAGACTTTTCTTAAATATGGCCTTGAATTTATATTGTTTATGTACCGGGCTTTCAGATTTTTTGAGCAGTGTGGCTAAGGAATGCATCAATATTTATTCAAAATTGATAAACATCAACATATCGCGGATGTCTAAATTTCCACATTCGCCACATCCCT